TGTGCAGGGATAGGAAACAGCACAAATCACAGCCGAGTAAACACTTGAATATGTATGTTTGCACGTCACAAATAAAGAGACGTGAAATGAGCTTGTGCTAATAAACACTGTACGCTCATGCAGATTGTGCTTATTTTAAAATTCATAACAATTTATAAAGTTTGCATGAAGTATAGTATTGTGCCATACTATAGAACTAACATCCAAAATGTTGCTTATGTTTACATTGATTTTGGACAATTCCTGTCATGTGAGCAAAGGGCACTCCTGGCTAAGAGCTTTAGTCGGAATTTAACTGAAGAAGAGTAAATAAAGCAGTTCTGACACATGAGGAAATTGTCAAGCATTTTCTGATTGAATTGCAAAATTAAATCAATTGAGTCCGCAGTACCCAGGTCCAAAGTATACTTATTACATTGTGTATTACTGTGATTACCCATATTCATCTCCTTCCTAGCTTTTGACGCTTCTTATGGGATCATTTAATTGCTCTCAACTTAGTGATCTTTGAAAATCTTCCACAATTACTAATTGAGTGCTTTCTACGCCAGTGGCAGTGATTATTCATCCCTCAACATCGATTTATGATTAAGAATACATATTGTGCCAAATTCTCTAGCCCGATTATCAACTTCAACGGTGGTCCACTGGTTCGTCGGTGTTCATCCACCTCGAATGACCATGCAAGTGCGTTGATCTACATTTTCAATACCATCTTTTGTTGTAAGATGAGCTCACCAGTTTCATCTGTGTTGTACTGTTATCAGCCTCCCCAACTGACCTAGACCCGCAAAACGCGGACTGTGATCACTTCCGAGCATCGTTCTCGTTCAAGGTATGCTTGAGTTGTTCATACTTTGGCACACAAGAATCATTCGGAAATGCTTTACAACGCATATATAGAATCCAAAATCCCAAGAACTGTTTGCTTGGGAAGTTCCTTGGTGAATTTCAATAATCAGTAGAAGCTGATTGTGGCTGTGTGACGTTGTTGTTATGAACGTCTTAAAGTTGTGTCGCATGCCCGGGCGATTAGCTGACGAGAATGTGAGTCTGCACTGTAATGTATGAATGTATTTTCCACCTCTAATCTATCCTCTAAATTTCATTGAGAAATATTGTGATGAATGATTCCACAAGTCTTTTCCATCTAAGATTTTAAAAATCTTGAACATTTAAGTTGTGTCAGTGTGGCCGTAATGGTGTAGTGCTATCGCTTGTATATTTTAATTGTTTTAAACGTGTCTGTATCCCGAATTGGGAAGAGTACAAAATAGTTGGAATGGGAATAAAATGTGCAGAAACATTCTTCAGACCAACTATTGCGTAACAGGTTGCAAAAATGTCCGGGTTTCAAAATTTCTTCCTGAATAAGAACGATTTTGATACGTGCTCTACCGACGATAACACTCAGCGCCTTTTCTCGTGTAATGTTTTACAACCGCTATAAGTGTAGCTAAACTAACCAAAATCTGCTTTAGTAAGTAAGTATGCGTTGAAAGCATCCCAGTATCAACCTTGGTAATAACGCATCACTCTGCTCTTTTTGCTATCATCTCTAATAACCTTACAAAGCATACCAAGGCCTAAACCATTTGTAGAGCCTAGGAGGAAGTCATTCGAAGATGCTAAACTAGAATGTGCTGATTATTTGTTTATTACAAATGAAACACTTAAACGGTACGAACCCTTCGGCAATCCAGATGATTCTAGCGTTCGTAAACTGATGAGCCTGAAGGCTTGTGACCAGTGTTGGGAAAATATTAATACATCAAATCTCCCCAAAGAACAAGATCGCGCTAGATTTTCGTACACAAAAATCAAGATGCAAACAACTGTGGTTGACATAGTAGCTCGGAATATCAATTTAACAAAAATTACCAGCTACAAATCTCACCAAACTTCCATGGCAGTAGTCGCTTCGAGTCTGCCATCGGCGAAGAGAAATAAGTAAGAGGTTGTATCCAATACACGACCCTAGATTTGACGGGATCGGTATCAATATTCGGCGACTGCGTTAGGGAAACCACTTTTCCCATCACGGAAAAGCCTGGTTTTCTGAATGAAATTTTTGGTTTATTCAATAGATAATAAAAAAAAACCGGAAATTGATTGAATGAATTTCTGTCTAAAATTTTCCATTTGCGAGATATTTGCGATCAATCATATAGATTCGAAATTTGTTTTTGCTTTTTTCTAGCATCTTGGAGAAAACCTTACCTTAATTCAAAGTGTTTCTGGTTAATTAACAAGGTCATGTGTTTTTCGATCGTTGCAAAAATCTTCATGTACCACTTGAATACTGTTACACATTTGACCAAAAACGTTTGATTGCTGGGTACATTATCAAATAGCTTTGGGGATGATGTGACTGACAGCAAGGCGAGCGACCGTTCAATGAAAATTAACTCTTAAACAACAATAATTTATGGTGCTCCTGAAAAGGACCGTTTTGTCGAGATGGTTGAGTAATGCTGAGCTATTAGGGTGTTCAACACGGACGAGGCTGGCGAACTGTATGTTGTATGGAACGAGGGTGTCGCGTTTGGCATGAATCCGATCAGCAGCAGTGCGCCTTTTTCCTCCTTCTTCGGTGAATCGAAGGCTCTTGAGGGCAGCTTGCTTCGAGCCTTTCGTCGTGTACTGGAGAAAAATATACAACGCCACGCGCCGAAAACTTTGCTGCTGCTTCTGCTGATGAAGACCGATCGTACGCCACAACACACGGTGATTGAAAAAGCACTGTTCGGTGAGACAGGATGGAATTCGATTTTGAAATCTGTGCTAGGGAAAGATCTTTTTGCAGCCCATCGGTATTATTTTGATCACCATTGCAACAATTGGACATTTGTGTAATTTTCAAAAGTGACCGTTTGAAAATTGATAAAGTGCTCATATTAACAGATTGGCTTGTTTAGAGTTAAAATCCATCCGCTTTTGACAGAGTTATAAGTGGCCAAAACCCGACCACTTTTCGCAACGCGGTCGATTTTGATTTTTTTAAATTGCACCCCCAATATGTTGCTGAAAGACGTAATTCTACATCAAAAGAGATAGCATTATTATACCTTCTCTTTCTAAGAAAACGAGGTGAAACCGGTGTAGTGGAAAAAATTGTTTGCGTCGATTCAACGCTCAGTTTTAATTTTACAGGTTGTGAATAGCCTTAGAAATCAATATCAATCATGATATTTTGCTCCAATACCACGCGTGACATTGAGAGCGTAAGAGAGCATGAGCATGAGCATGATTGACCGCCCACGGTTGCTACTCTGTTATTGCCAGATCAGCTGTAATTACACAGAGAACCAATAGACGATGCTTGGGACTAGCAGTCATCCTCAATGTGTAAAAACTGGTGATCTCAAACTAGGCAATACCAGCGCCGGCCGCGCCCGTACACAGGTCAAAAAAGGGATGGGTAGGAATGTGTTGACGTGACACTCGCTTTGATGGAAGCCGAGAACTCTGCACTTCCACGAGGAATCACTGGGATATTGGGTAAGAACGCTAGGTTTGCAGCAGGGCTCGTTTTGGTAAACGATAAGCTGAATTTATATCCTAATGATCCTATAAGGCGAAGGAGCTTGGGATTGAACCCACGGGTTTCTACTCAGTAAGAAAAACGTTTACCCCAAGGCAAACGAGCTCCTTTTATTATAACACACCAAGGATCGAGTTGTTATTATTACAATGTATTCACATTAACAAATAAAGCTATTAACGAATCTTGAATGTGGAAGGGCTTGAGATTAATCGCTTGATGTTCAACTCAGTAAGGAAAAATGGTCGCTCTTAGGCCACCAAGCTCCTTATATCATATTATTCAAGCTACGATCGCGTTGCTATTGCAACCATTCAAAACCGGCCCCGAAGCAGACGTTGATGACGATGTAAGTTGCACAAAACACACGATAATCAAGCGATGTAACGATAAGTCTCCTTAACATGATAGGACTTAGTATTTATTCAAACTCAAACTCGACGGCGGTGCCCTTTACACAAGAATAAGCCTCTATGACCTATGATCTTTCAAACCTGGAGACATAAAAGCTACGCGACGTTCGTTGTTTCCACTTGGTCCTTACGTAAGATGGGAACAGAATCCATAAAACTTTCACATGTTTGTACTACCGTGCCCCTTACTTCACAAACTAAACTACGACTGACGTGACGATTTTACCAGCGTACAAATGTTGCACATCTTTTAAGCTATCCCGACCGAACTCTATTGCACTTTAAAACGACTCCGTGACATTGAGAGCGTAAGAGAGCGGAAAAATATCAATTTGCTAATGATTATCCCACCACTGCTTGGGACGAACAACTGCAGCAAATTAAGGACGACGTATTCAAGCAGTTTTTCATTCCATTGACTGTTAACTGACAGTACAAATTTCACACTCAGCAGTGTCTCGAACAAAATGTGTCTCCATTGAATAAGTTGGACAGACTTGGACGAACCTATACCACCCGAATATCCATATTTGGCCTGCGTATACGTCGGTCGTGGCTGGTGTTACCGAACAGTACTGCAAAGAACCAGATCGGGTGTTGAACGCCACCTTACAATGTTCCAGTAATCAATATCGTGAGCACTGCCACTAGCACTGTCTCAACAAACAATTTGAGTTGTCTAACAGCTGAATAAACCATTATTTAGCTAAAAAAGCTCATTTTTGCCTGGATAAGCTCTTATTCAAAATTCAATGTTTGTTGGGGTACCAGGTAACCATTACCAATAGTTCACCATGACACGACAATAAAAACACAGTAAGTCGCTTACTTAACCAAATTCCCGCGAAGCCATGTGTTATAACAAATTTGAAACGAATATGCATAAATGAAGGCTTCCTTCAATTCAACTGCATCAATGACCTCATTAAAGTCACTGATGCCCCCTTGGAACGTGCCAATATAGTCAAACAACTACTATTTATTGTATATATATAAACTGACTCACACGATCAACAACTTTAATTTAAACCTTCTATTCACAAATGAAATCTGTTATAGTGTCACTTGTGTTAGCTTTACCCATCCACTATGCATTGGGCCTAAAAAATCTGGATAAACCCAGATGGAAATCATTTGGCGACGCCCAGCAAGAATGTGCCGAGTACCTTCTCATCTCTGAGGACACGATCGATCGTTACATCAGCAGTGGCTATCCAGATGAATCCAGCGTACAAACGCACATTTACTGTATTCTGATCAATCTCAATTCGTGGAATCAGACAACCCTGCAGATCAACGACTACGTTTTCAATCGATTTTTTCGTACATTGCCCGGCGATTGCATCTACAAGCAGCGTACTGAGCAGTGTTTGGCTCAGCAGAACCTCTACTCAAAGTTCAATGTAAGTATCATTAGTCGAGCATACAACTCGTTCATGTGTTACTACCAGTACTACGGAATCCTTTCCAACGAGCCTCAATGGGTACCGTTCCGAGTTAGTGAGATTCATCAAGTCCTAGTCGATAGCCTACGAATTATTCCTCATCATCGCAAACGGTTGCTGCAGTATTGCCAAGGCTTCATGCTGGTACCTCCTGAATTCCCGGACCTGATGTATGCTTTCACTGTCCGATTGGCGTTCTACAACGAGTCAACCGGTTTCGATTTGCAGAAACTTTACGCCCAGTTTGGTATGAAAGAAATTTTGACTGAGAAAACCAGCGATTGCATTGGTCGTGTGACAAACAAATACTGTGTGGAACCGGCACGTGTTGTGAACACAATGCAGACGTGCTTCTCGAGGCTATACCTATCGCTGCGAAAGATGGTCAGCTCAGCTGCCAGTTTGGTACTCGGTCATCCGGCAGAGTGTTTGATAGGGCCAAGATTCGATTTGAAAACCTACTGAACACGTGTACAGTTGGCAAAGTTTTGTTTCATACGTGCTGTCATTCTTCGTACATCAGCTCATTAAATATTAATAATAAAATCTATCTACTCATTTAAATAAAATCCGAATGCTACCTGACTGTTCGTTGTCTTTCCATGTCAGTTTCCATAACAGTAAACCTACGCTACTTCTTCTTCTTCTTCGCATTTCAAGCTTATTGATAAACAGCTTACCATCTGAAGCTGAGAATACCCAGTCCACTGGTACCACTTAAAAAAAAACCAGCATGTGAGAGGATCGAAATCAGCTCAACATTCAATAAACGGTTTTTTATATAGTTTACTAAACATTACTGCATTTGAAAAACTTCCGCAAAATGGGCACTTTCACTGCAAAGGTTCTGTCTCAGCAATCACAAGATCTTCAGAAACAAGTTCGATAAAACCTCTTCTACATCAGTTCGAAATTTGGAATTTGGAAAACAAATTTTCCAGTAAAAGACAGGTTTCGCGTGAAATGACCACTTTTTCCAATGTCAAATCTTAGGAGAATCAACACTCGACTGATTATCTTTTGATGTGTTGTTAAGTGTATACTTAACAAGATCATGAAGGCCGTGCTTGAAGACTGACTGTAGTCACGGTGGGTCGTGTTTGATGGTGGGGTTTGGTAGTTTTGATGACGAAATATGAAGGAGAAAACAAGAACGACTGTAAAGGGTGATACGGTCAAAATTTGGTCAAGGGAAAACGCGTGTAAATCGGTGAAATCGTTTATTTAAAAAATCAAATTAAATTTCTTTTTCAAGTTCAATTAGTATAAAATTCAGGAAAAATATTCAGTTAGGCTTCCGCTTTTCCAAATCCGAATTGCCGGGCCTTACGCTTGACCCCTGCCATCAGATTTTGTACAGCCACCTTGTCCACCTTCTTCGCCGCAGAAAGCCAGTTTGCCTTGAACTGCTGCTCGCCCTTAGCAGTTTTTTGGTCTTCTTTAGGTTCCGCTTGACAATAGCCCAGTATTTCTCAATTGGGCGGAGTTCTGGCGTGTTGGGAGGGTTCTTGTCCTTGGGAACCACCTGCACGTTGTTGGCGGCGTACCACTCCATGGCCTTTTTACCGTAATGGCAAGATGCCAAATCCGGCCAAAACAGTACGGAACAACCGTGTTTCTTCAGGAAAGGCAGCAGACGTTTATTCAAACACTCTTCCACGTAAATTTCTTGGTTGACAGTCCCGGAAGCTATGAAAATGCTGCTTTTCAAGCCACAGGTACAGATGGCTTGCCAAACCAGATATTTCTTTGCGAACTTTGACAGTTTCATGTGCTTGAAAACATCTGCTACCTTTCCCCTTCCTTTTGCCGTATAAAACTCCTGTCCCGGAAGCTGCTTGTAGTCGGCTTTGACGTAGGTTTCGTCGTCCATTACCACGCAGTCAAACTTCGTCAGCATCGTCGTGTACAGCCTCCGGGATCGCGCTTTGGCCGTCGTATTTTGTTTATCATCGCGATTTGGAGTCACTACCTTCTTGTAAGTCGATAGTCCGGCTCGTTTTTTGGCTCGATGCACGGTTGTAGACGATACACCCAGCTTATTTGCGGCATCTCGGAGAGAGAGGTTAGGGTTTCGCTTGAAACTACCGGCAACTCTCTTTGTCGTCTCAGTGGCTTCCGGTTTTCGATTTCCCCCCGATCCAGACTTCCTGGCTGTCGACAAACGTTCCCCAAACACTTTAATTACATTTGTAACGGTTGATTTGGCAACTTTTAGCGATTTTGCCAACTTTGCGTGCGAGTTGCTCGGATTTTCGCGATGCGCGAGCAAAATTTTGATACGCTGCTCTTCTTGCTTGGACGGCATTTTGACAACTGAAGAGTGAATTCCAAAATCAAAATAGGAGCAACATTCTACACACACACACCTTCAAAATGAGGGGTATTCAGGTTTTTTTAAATGCAAAATTGAAAGAAATACGTCAAGATGATATTGACCAAATTTTGACCGTATCACCCTTTAAATAACAATAAAGTTCGTTCGAGATAGCTTAAAAGATGTGCAATATTTGTACGCTGGTAAAATTGTCGCGTCAGTCGTAGTTTACTTAGTGCAACTTTTATGGATTATGTTCCCGTCTTACGTAAGGTCCAAATTTAAACAACGAACGTCGCGTAAAAGTAGAAATTAATGAAGGCATAAGCGCTTTTTCGTAGTTTTTTTTTGTCTCCGTGTTTGAAAGATTGTCGGTAGTAGAGGATTACTCTTGTGGACAGGGCACCACCGTGAAGTTGAGTTTGAATAAATCCCAGGTCCTATTATATTATTATTATATATTCAATTATAAATATTTATAACAGGGTCAAAACACAACTGGAAGAAGCAACGTAACATCATTTGATTTTCTCTAATGTATGTTTAACGGTTATATGCCAGTGAAATTAACCATTTTATCTTTCCTTTCTAGGATAGAAAGTTACATTACTCATTGATATATTTATTTGTATATTTGTAAATACTTATTTAATCAAATTTTGAATATGAGTGATGAGGAAGCTTATTGTGTTCGCGAGCCCTCCGTTTAGGCTGGACTCATTGATTTAAATCTTTAAGTTTATTTTCAGCTCTAAGACATTTTTAGATTAATATTATAATGATTCACTATTTTCAGCCTTCGTTCAGGAAAATACAAAAAAACATTGGAATGCATGATTACAATTGCATAAAAACTGTTAACTGTCCAAATCACCTCGATTTTTCTGACTATTGATGCATTATGAAAGTTTACCAATATTTTAAAAAGCATTCCATATTGCGTTAAGAAATTCCATGGTGCATAATAAAGTGTTTGTTTCAATTCCAATAAAATATCAGAAGTTGAAATCAGTTGAATGTACTATAATTTTCATTCCTAGAAAATAGTTGTCCTGCAGATCCTGAAGGGCCAGAATGTGTATCAAATAGGTTAACATTGTTATTTACCTTTAATTTTATTATATTATTATTATTTATTATATTACTGTAAGAGATGAATTAGCCTTAGACTAAAAATCTCTCTAATCAAGAAAAAAAAACTTTAATATTATTATAATATAATATGAATTTGGCCGGTTGCTTTTGGTGCAGCTCCACTTGGTTATTTGGCTGAGATGATTCCTTTTTATTTATTTAAACACTAACCCCTCCATATCGTACAAAGTGTTTTTATGTTACTTCATACGCGAAGTTAGCGATTTTCAGAGTTGGTTGGAAATGCTAACATGAAGCTTTAGTGTGATAATTTATTAGCTAGATAATGGTCTTAAAAAAGGGTAGGTAGATAGTTCCGTTAGAGTACGACAGTATGAAAATTAAATAGAAGTTGAAAATGAGCGAAAGGCCATTAATGCGACAGTTTTTGAAGTCAGACGCACATCTTTTTCCTAACCCGTACGATGTACGCCCCCCCCCCCCCCTCCATATCGTTCAAACATCAATTCAGCTTATCGTTTACCAAAACGAGCCCTGCTGCAAACCTAGCGTTCTTACCCAATATCCCAGTGATTCCTCGTGGAAGTGCAGAGTTTTCGGCTTCCATCAAAGCGAGTGTCACGTCAACACATTCCTACCCATTCCCTTCTTGACCTGCGTTCAGGTGCGGCTGGCGCTGGTATTGCCTAAATTGAGGATGATTGCTAGTCCCAAGCATCGTCTATTGGTTCTCTGTGTAATTACAGCTGATCTGGTCATAACAGAGTAGCAACCGTGGGCGGTAAATCATGCTCATGCTCTGTCAAATCTTAGGAGAATCAACCCTGGCTACCATTTGGGATCTATAATTTACTCAGTAAATGGTTCTTTTATGCATCAGTTTAAAATAGTTGGAAAAAAAATCGCTCAGTTAAATTCTACTTTCGGAAATTATCATTTTGCCAGTAGATCATACGAAGATAGAATTACTTGCACCAAAACCCGAGCAGGAACGAATATCTCGATACCTTAAATTGGTATGGATGAGCCTGACATAAGAGGTAAAATACCAAAAAATAATACTAACAAAATGTTCCCACAATACCATTCCAATATCATATTATGATAATGCAATACCAAAACAATACCACCCAGGTATTATTTTGGTATCTAAATATCAATTTTTGGTATTTACAAAGTATTTTCCATATATTTTTTTGGTATTATTCTTTGGTATTTTACCTCTTATGTCATGCTGGTCAATACCAAATTTTGGTATCAGATTAGAATTAGGTATTCATTAGTTATTTTCTCCTGCTCGGGAATAGACACTTTTATTAGTCTTCTTTGCAGGGCCGCTTCGCACAGTGAGGTGACTTCGTACAAAAAAAGAGAAAGAAATTTGACACTCCGGAGTCAACAAAATAAGTTAAAAATTTAGTATTGTAGGTTTGTGTTCTAAACATTTTATTAAGATTTTTTGTATAGACCTTTTTGATGTTTAATCGTCTTTCCCTATCTATCACACAGGAATAAAGGAATGGTTTGTTTTCCCGGCTTTAAGTATTGCATTTGAAATTTGTATGGAAATTAGTACGGGAAAACCAACTTGCATTTTCATTTCTAGGAACCACAATTTTGCTTGGGCCATGTAAAAGTCTAATGTCCAGTCAATAGAGGACTGAAAAAAGCACAAACAACTAATAAAAGCTCCCAGACGGCGCCGCCGTGATGTTCTGATGCATAACATCTCTGATCACGCCTTCACAGGAAGTAAAGCCGTTGGTTCCCGGTTCATGAGCTGATGGGTCGATAGGTAGGGTCCAGGTGTGGAGCTGCCTCCCTGGCGTCGGTAGCATTGGTGCTCACAACGGAAAACAAGATCGACGAAAAGCAAATTAAGAAAAAAAAAAGAACTAATAGAAGAATGACAAAAGGTACATTGGGGGATTTGTTGATTATTTGGGTATATTTGAGAGTATTTACTTATAAACTTGTTTCTCTTCCGCTGCGTCTAAATAGAAACGGGTAAGTCTGACAGCTGACATATATGAGTATTAATTGTTTTTTTTTA